CCCTAAACCCTGAACCCCAAACCTGTGCTTTAGAAGAACGCCTCTCTTCGACCCGACCCAGAGCCTCCACGATGCGCTCTTGCGCCCGGAGCTCGATCTGGGGCATTGTGGTGCTCTTTTTTTGGGGGAGGTTAGGGTTTAGGGTTTAGGGTTTAGGGTTTAGGGTTTAGGGTTTCGGGGTGTAAGGGTTTAGGGGTTTCGGGGTTTAGGGGCTTACATAAGGATTTAGGGGTTGACGAGGGTAGAGTTTGGGGAAGATTTTGGGGTTTTGATGTTTCGGGCTGAGCTAAGGGCTTCAGGGCCGCTAGTAGGGGCTCAGGATAGGGTTTAGTTTAGATTATGTATAAGTATAAGCCTACCTAAAACTACAATAACCTAATGTTCTGTAGGGATCAGTATACATTCCAATATGCAATTTAGTTCAGGGACCGTACAACAAGTAGGTTATGGTAGGTCAACCCGAACCTCTAAATTGGCCTGGGCCAAACTCGAAACTGCAAACTGACAACCCCTCACCCAAGACCCTGTAAAGCGCCGGGTTCAGGGGTTTGGGCTTTGGGCTCTAGGGCTTAGGGAGTTTGGGGGGGCTTCGGGTTTAGGGTACCAGGTATATAACTCGCAAACCCCTCAAGCCTCGGAAACCCGATCCGGGAGGAATTTGCACTGGGTCCCTGCGATGGGTCGTACCCACCTTCGCAATCCAGCGTTCCTCATCTTTGAAGGCGTCTATTGAATAGATTTTGTTGTTTCACATGGGCACATGGGGGTTTCCGAAAATAGGGGACCCTAATATAGTACCCGAAATAGTAGGATCCTTATTGTAAGGACCCCAAAACAAGGTACCCCTTGGTTTCGGAAAGTCCCACATCGTAAATGCCAACCACTCTGCGAAGGCACAGCTGCCCAAATAATTAGTTCTCCAGCAAGCCACCTAGCTTCCATCAGTTGGTACTGCTTGGCAAGCACCTCCTTGTCGTCCTCTAGAAAGGCCGCGGCATTTCCATCCACCCTTCGCGAGCCAGGAAAGTATATATCATTATATATCCTCCAACAGCACACATCGGCTCAAAAACCCTGCGTTTTGGGCAGTGCCCTGTTTTCCATATCTTGGGCAGATGAAGGTTATTCTTGGCTCTTGACCCTTTCCTTTGCCCATGATTTGGCACTCAGAGATCACAGCCAGAGACTATAGCTTCTTGTTCAGGCTTGTTTTGGCGGTCGACGTGGTGACACCGAACCGCTGACAAGATGAATGCCGAATACGTACTTCGCCATTTGCTCCTGTTTCATGCCGACTGGGCTGTAAGCATCGCTTTCCGGGTTTGCGGTTTAGGGCTTCAGGCTTTAGGGTTCAGGGTTCAGGGGTTTAGGGCTCCACTAGCCTGCAGGAAACAAGTTGCCGAAACTCCTAACCGACGGCTTCCACGCAGGACGTCTTGAATGATGAACCCATACTATTGCTTGGGGCTCCTTATTAATCATGCTTACAGAGCCATTATTAGAACCCGTAAATAATACGGCCACCGTTCACCCTAAACCCTAAACCCACGCCCCCGAACCCCTAAACCCCAAAACCCATGCCCCCGAATCCCTAAACCCTAAACCCAAGCCCCCGAATCCCTAAACCCTAAACCCAAGCCCCCGAACCCCTAAACCCTAAACCCTAAACCCTAAACCCCCTAAACCTTAAACCCTGAACCCTCTCGCTAAACCCTAAACCCTAAACCCCCTCCCTAAACCCTAAACCCTAAACCCCATCCCTAAACCCCAAACCCCCTACACCCTCGAGGCCCCCGACCCTGGGAATCTGCTTCTCGATCGTCTGCACCACCGGCTTCGGGATCTGCGCGGCGGTTTGTTTTTTGGCTTAGGGTCTTAAGGTTTAGGCTTTTGGGGTTTAGGGTTTAGGCTTTTAGGGTTTCGGGTTTTTAGGGTTTGGGTTTTTAGGGTTTAGGGTTATACACGACTCTTTTGGGGTTCACAAGAGTGTTCATTGCGCTTCATGGGGTTCTATGGGGTTTAGACAAGGCTTTCGTAGGGATTTATGGGTGTTGCAGTGGCCTCGGGGATTTACAGCTACGTGGTGTTGGGCTTTCAGATTTTGGGTGGATTAAAGGTCACGAGGGTTTGGGGGCCCCAAACCCTAAACTCCCAAACCTTTAACCTCGTTTGACGTGCGCCCTAGCGCTCATCAGAAGGACTAGGGTTTAGGGTTTAGTGTTTAGGGTTTAGGGTTTAGGGTTGTTAAGATCTCGGATTTAGGGCTTTGGTTCGAGGTTACTCAATGTCTGGATCGAGAAATCTGCGTGTTCGGAAGAACTGTCGGCTTTAACCCCTGCAAGGAAAACGAACTGTAGTCCTTGGTCCAAGGGGTCCGAGGGCCCAAATGCTAGGGTTTCGAGGTCCGAAAAAGAACTTCAGAGCATTTTAGGGGCCTTAATACTTAGAATAGGGTTTTGAAGCCCATTATACTGTTAAGTCGAATAAGGAAGTTTAGGGGCGTGTGGTTTAGGCTCCAAGGGTTTAGGGTTTAGGGTGTGCAGGGTACAGAGGGGAGAGACGGTAAAACCTTTGCTAAGTCTTGCAGAGAACGTAGAGGCCTTAACAACTTGAATAGGGTTTTGGGGGCCAGTTATACTATCATTCGAAAAAGGAACCCCCAATATAAGGTAGGTAGTTATTAAGGCCCCATTATGGACTTTGGGACCTGCAATCCTACTGTTTGGATACTCGGACCCTCTGTGTGGGTCACACAGAGGAACCGCATGCCTCATCTTTGCCAGTGCCTTGCCATTCCCCGAGCCACTCAAAGCCCTGAAGCCCAACTCCTAAACCCCGAAACCCTAAACCCCACACCCTAAACCCTAAACCCCAAACCCCAAACCCTAAACCCTAAACCCCAAACCCTAAACCCTCAACCCCAAACCCTAAACCCGCGAACCCCTAGATCCCCTCATAACCCTGTAATGTAAGGGCCTTAAGAATGAGAACAGGATTATGGCTCCTTTGTGGTATAGTTTTAAGAAGTTTCATGTAGGGGCCTCAGTAATGAGAACAGGGTGTTGGGCTCCTTTGCGGTATAGTTTTTTTCTAAGTAACCTCAGGAACTGTACTGGTAATCATTCAGGCCCCCCAAAATACAGACACGATAATCCCCTTGTAAGTCCCTGCAGAACACTCTCCCCTAAACCCTAAACCCTACACCCTAAACCCTAAACCCCTAAACCCTAAACCGTAAACCCTCAACCCTAAGCCCTAAACCCCAAAGCCCTTGTGCCACCGAGGAAGATCCAGTTGCCTCGGTGAGGGCTTCCACAGTGTGGACCTGCAAGGGCTCGTTAGGCTTGGGGCTTAGGGTTTAGGGTTTAGGGAAAAGGGAAAAGGGACAAGGGAAATGGGTTTGGGCTTTAGGGATGAGGGTTTTAGGGGTCTAGAGGCTACGGATTTACAGTTTAGGGTTTGGGGTTTAGGGATTCAGGTTTTAGGATCTATAGAGGCTACGGATTTACAGTTTAGGGCTTGGGGGATCTAGGGTTTGTGTTCAAGTGTTCTGGCCTCTGGGGTTGGGCGTATTTAAAAAGAGCAGGGGGCGCAGTTATTAAGTGGGGCTATACCTACAGTAACCTTACTATAGCCATCTTCTTGTTTAGCCTCCAACGAAGCCAGTTATAGCCCTACTGCTCGCTCAGCTCCATGATCCTCTAGTTAGGATCCGGGACTCAAGTTTCTCCGGGCTCAGGGTTGGGGGCTGGGACAAGGGATGTTAGCCCTAGAGAACGTGTAAATCCCCGACAAAACGCCTATAATCCCGGTTATGCAGAACCCAAACCCGACACTCCCGCACCCCCAAACCCTAAGCCTAAATCCAAAGGCGACTTGCCCGGACCTGTATATTAGGGCTTGGGGTTGCGTTGTTGGATTCCCTGCTAAACTTGATTTCCCAAAATCCCTCCAGCTCTTCATAACTCTTTGCTGCAAGGACCTTGCGATTTTGAAGCCGGGGCATACCCTCGCCGGTTGTTTCCGGCTTGGGGTTAAGAGCTGAGGAAAGCTTGTGACCTTCATAACTCATAACCCAAACTCTACTTCCACAAAAAAACGGCAAAACCACATCTGAGCGGTAATTCCGAAGCATTCCAAGGCAGGCTTCTTTGCCTTGAACCTAGAACACAACCCCTGAAGGTCTAGTCTATGAAGCCCTAAACCCAGCCCTCATTTCAACCATCCCTGAAGCTAAACGCCCTAAACACCTCAACACTTACACCCAACCCTCATCCTAGCCTTGAAACTACCATCCTGTACCCTCACACCCCAAAGCCCCAAACCCCAAGCCCTCACACGCCTACAAACGCCCGTTTCTGGAGATCCAGTCCTAAACCCGAGACCCTCAACCGATTTCGGCACCTGCTCCACCTCTATGGGGCGCTCCTCATAGACCACCTGTGGCACCTGTCCGCTCGCTGCGGTTGAGAGGCTCAGAATTTGAGGGGCTTGGAGAATACAGGTTTAGGGCTTAAGAGAACGGAGTTTAGTCTATATAATTACCAATACTATTGCTTGGGTTCCGTACTATATTCAAAATCTTAAAAACCCCAAAACCGTGTTCTCAGTATTGAGGACCCTATATTAGAGATTAGTAGGTAAGGGTCCTAGGGTTGGGATGTTAATGTATTGGGGGGGTACGGTTCGGGTTTGCGGGTTGGCCACAGGCATTCCAGGGTTTAAGGTTTAAAACGGTTTGGGGTGCGGTTTGGGGTGCTCTGAAAGGGATCTATAAGGGTTTCTATAGGGGTGTCTATATAAGGGTACTACATGGGTTCTGAAGGGGCTCGAAATTGGGTGGTTTAGGCATTCGGATCTAGAGACAATCTAAACGAGCTTCAGCGCAGTTTAGGCCCTGGTTTCAAGGAAGTTAAGGGACAAGGCTGAGACAGAGCTTACTTCTTGGTGGGTAAGCTTCGGAATTCGGATCTTGGCCCCACTATACCGGTGCACCTCATGCTACATACTGCGCTGCTCTACGAGACCTGCTCACGTATCGCCGTGACTTGCAGGCTGGTCCCGGGCTGATTGCTGATCCTCCTGGGGGGATGCAGGGCTCTGGAGCACCTGCCTCTTATTCTTGGAGATCGACGCCAAACCAAAAACAGCAGAAGATGAAATGAACTAGAAGAAACCGTCTCAACCCTGCATCCTACACCTTCAAAGCAAGAACAAAAACAGTCCCCAAAAAGCCCTAAACCTGAAACCACCACGCCTCCACGATCTTCTCCACATATTCGATGACATGCTTGGGCACCTCCCGAGGCTAAGGGGACGAGAGACGGGTGACGTAGGGGCTGCTTTTGCGAAGCAACTGCCATGGTCCTCAAGGGCTTCCTTGAAGGGTTCCTGCAATGGTTCCTTTAGGGTTTAGAGGTTTGGGTTTAGGGTCTAGTGTATAGGGTTTGTTCCTTCATACAAGTTCTACAACAAGGGCTAGAGGGTCTAGGTGTAGCACTCGAGGATTCTCCTGTTTCCAGAAGGTCGGGGGGTGCATTTGTTGTAGGGCTTTGAGATTAGAGCTTTCCCGGCTACTGTACTTTCTTCGAGCGATCTATTCTGCGGGCCAGTACGGGCAAGCAGTGTGTAGGGTACATGTTTCACCCTCGAACTTTTCACCAAACGCCACGTAGTACATGCCCACGGGTTTAAGGCTTGGGGCCCTTGCCTGCTTCGTAGTCTCTCGTCAGCAGACATGATCCCCCCACTCTGATCTTCATTAAGTCTGATACCTGGCCGTACAGTTCCCTTCTCTTGGTACCTTTGGCCCCCAACAAGCCCTCGAAAAGTCTTACAAAACCCTGAAGAGCACTTACAGCTTCCCTTTAAAGCAACCTATCAAGGAGCCCCGTAAAGAAGCCCTTAAAGAAACCCTTACTGGACCGGTAGGACAGGAGCAGAACAAGCCTTCTTGTCGATGTACTGCACCTCGGGCTTCGGCACCTGTTGTTTAGGGTTTAGGGCTTTGGGTTTAGGGTTTAGGGTTTAGGGTCTGGGGTTTAGGGTTTGTAGGGTTCGGGGCTTAGGGTCTGGGATTTTGGGGCCTGCTTCTACAGGTTTTAAGGGGGGGCTCAGTCCCGACTTAGAGGATTTAGGGTTTAGGTTCTCGGCTTCAGGGCCTCTAGGTTTAAGCTGGAGGGTCTATTGTTGTCGGGATCAGAGCAGGGTTGTTTCGTGGAATCTCTTCAGCCCTAAACCCTCAACTCTAACTCGCTGCTTCGGGCTCAAGAGCCCCAGGCTCCGCTGGCTTTGTGAGGCTTCCTTATTATAACGATACTATACTTTATATCCTAAAACCCTATTCTAGTGACTAGGGCCCCTCTACTATTTGCTTTTGCCTTGACAAACTCAATTGTGATGCTTGCTGCCACTACTTTTTGGCATCTGTCTGTCTAAACTGTTCAAAGAATGATCGTTACTACTACGATCAGACAAAATTGCCATTTCGGGACATGTCATTTACGTACGAGCTTACATACATACATACATCCATCCACCCATCCAGGCAGACAGACAGACAGACAGACAGACAGACAGACAGACAGACAAGTACAGTTCATGCAAAAGCACATGCATGCTATTCTCGGTTGCTTCTAGTGGCGGTGAGAGGGTTGTCTGCTTCACGTCTGAGCCAAAAAAACATAGAACTCTGTGCACTGCACCCAAAACCAAAGCCTGTGCTCTCAAAATAAAGATAACACACACATTCTTGCGGACTGAAAACATGACCCGATGGGACCCGCATTACCATTACCAAGTGCAAGTGCAACTGCAGCCGTAGAGGTGACTGCGGGCTCGGCTGCAGCACCTACAACAGCCCTTATAAACCAAAACCTTTGCGACAATTACAAACCCCACTATAAACCCTCTGACCCATTATAAAAACCCAGACCCTGAGAGTCCATGTACCCAATTAGTAGATACTTTGGCCCAACAGTACCCGAACAGGGACGACTATAAGGCCAAAGTATCTACTATTTGGGTACATGTGCCCCTAGGGTTATAGAAGCCCAACGGCTCTTGGAGCGGACCTTGGCTGAAATCCGCTATACTGAATCTGAAGCACCATATGGGCTTTGGGGTTAAGGGTTGATTTTGGGGTTCAGGGGTCATTTGGGGTGAAGGGGTTGTTTGGGCTTGCGGGTTTATTTGGGCTCTAGATGGAACTAAAGGGTTGAGGCATTGTTTAGGGTTCGTTATTTGGGTCTTAGAGACTATAATGCCACTGAAGTCGTCGGGCCTTGCGGCAAAGAGGCTTATGTAGACCCCAGGCCCCGCGTGGCCTGTGGCTCAGTCAGAAAGGGTCGTGCCCAGGCTAATTTCGGTTTTTCACGGTCCACCACTATCACGGTCCCAGTGTCTATCACAATGACCTCTGCTATGGCGACGTGTCCAGTGGCGAATTCCTCAGGGCGCCTGGGCCCTCCAAGAAATGCGCCGCGCGGTAGAGCGTGTTCGGACAGCCGAGTCGCTGGAACGCCGTGTCGCCGCGCAGCGATTGTAGCGCCTCGAAGCGCACTGGGCTGCTCAGCGCCGTGAGGCCGCGCACGTGGAGCGACGGCGACACCTCCCTTTCGGGAGCTGGGCGGCACCCTGCAGTGGATCGGTATGCTGGAAGCGGATCAGCACCTCCTGCACCGACTTTCCAGGCATCGGCAACTCCACCATTGTGTGGGGCTGAGCTCTGTCGCCGTGCGGGTGGCAAGCTCGCATGTCACAGGACTCCTGGTGCTACAGCCCCAAACGCCCGAGTAGCTGAAACCCAGGCTCTCAGTCCTAAATCTCAACATGGGTAGCTCTCTAAATTCCTTTTGGGGGGGTCTTTTGATAGGGGTACCGCATTACTTCTGGGACCTGAACAGGAACCCTAATCTACAGAACTACCCGCATGCGAAAGCCCCAGACAGCACCAACTGAGAGACTTCACCGTTCCTGAAGCGACGGTCCCTGAGCACCCCTAACCCCTGCAAAGCCCTCAACAAAGGGACCTAAATACTCAGAAAAGGGTTTTGGTGTATGGCATAGTATACTTGTATAGGAAACCCTGTGGAATAATTGCTGTGCAATCCCATGGAGAGCCGCTACACAAGCCGACGTCATACGCAAACACCCCTCAACTCTTACAAACCTTAAACACCAAACCCTAGCGAAAAACCCTAAACCCTAAACCCTAACGACAGCCGTAAACCCTAAAACCTTTCAAAAAAAGATCCTAAGCCCTAAACCCTAAACCCTAAACCCTAAAACCTTACAAGAAATCCTCATCCCTAAACCCCACTTTTTTAGCCCCGGCGAACTGGCAAGTCGCCTGCTTGATCACCTCGCGGTATTCGATCCGTGGCACCTGCTTTGGGCTTACTTTCCGGGGCCCGAATCGCCTCAATCGCTAGTACGGTTTAGGGTTTAGGGTTTAGGGTTTAGGGTTTACGGTAGTATATAAGTCTATCTTATTGTTCCTTGGGGTTTAGGGTTTAGGGTTTCGGGTTTAGGGTTTAGGATCTTTTTGTTGTAAGGTTTTGGGGATTACGGCTTTCCTTAGGGTTTAGGGTTTAGGATTTAGGGTTTAGGGTAGTATATAAGTTAGGGTTTAGGGTTTCGGGTTTAGGGTTTAGGGGTTTAGCGTTTATCGCTAGTATAGTTTATAAGCCTATCTTATTGTTCCTTAGGGTTCCTCATGATAAATGTACTATAAGATGCCGTTCTAATCATTCTGGCTCCACTATAGGCACAGGGGTTCTACAAGAGTTTAGTGTGTAGGGGGTTTAGGATTTAGGAAGGATTCTGATACCAACGAGCTTAGACACTTGGGGGGGGGGGCCGAGGGGTTGGATACCCTCAACCCTGAACCTTACACCCTAAACGCAAAAACCATATAACCCTAAACACTAAACCCTAAACCTTTTTCCTCACCCTCCAACCAACCCTACACCATGCCCTCCAGCTCCAAGCCCTCAAAATATGTCCATTTGGATGCTTCTTGAAAGATCAGGGTTTAGGGTTTAGGGTTTAGGGTTTAGGGCAGGAGGCTTGGAAAGTAGGATTGTAAGTTACCCCGAACTTGTGCTTATAACCCTTACTTACTAAGACCCCTGCACCTCATAAGCCCCAAACAACACTTGAAAACTCATGAAGAAGCTGTTTTGGAACCCTGATAGAACCCCTTAACTCCTGTAAAACGTAACGTAGGGGCCTTAATAATTAGAACAGGCTTTAGGGTTCTTTGTGGTAAAAATATTTTTGCTTTTCACCTAAGGAAATATTGGTACACGTTTCGGTCGCCCCAAAAACAGCCACGATAATCCCCTTGTAAGTCCCTGCAAAGCACTCCCTGCTTTTTGGCCCCTTTTAGAAGCTACTTGGGTAGTTGTCAAAATTATGGTCCCTTTTGGGGTACCCAAAATAATAGGTGCCGTATTATAATAAAGACCCCAAAAGGGACCCTAATTTTGACAACCACCCACTTGGGATCTTGTGCTCTTTGCCTCGACGATGCGCTCCTCATAGACAACCTGCGGCACCTCGGCGGGTGTAGGGTTTAGGGTTTAGGGTTTAGGGTTCAGGGTTTAGGGTTTAGGGTTTAGGGTTTAGGGTTTAGGGTTTAGGGCTTAGGGCATAGGGCTTAGGGCTTAGGGCCTCGGGCCTTGGCTTGGAAACATGTTTCACAAGTTCTGTCCGGAATATTACCACTGTTCTAAACGGGCTTCGGGTGTAGGGCTGGGGCTTTAGGACGATGAAAAGGGTCTGTGTTCTGAGATTGGGGTTGAGGTGGGGGTTGGGGCTTGCAGGGTTCAATTCAGTGTTGCCAGCGGGTTATTAGGGCTTTCAGGGAACCCTACCCTGCGGCCTTTTTTGCGGACACGTGTGTCTTGTGCAACTGCCATGAAGAGGGGAGAGATTTCGGGGGCATGTTGTAGTTATATAAGGCCTATAGGGTACACTATTCTTCTAGTCCCGACCCCCATGGTATGTATTTTGAGCAGGTTCCTTATGAAAAGTATAGTATAATAGGCCCCAAAGCCCCATTATAATTACTAAGGCCCCTATAGTACTCCTGAGTCCTGAATTTAGATTGGGTTTCTCTGTGTATGGCTTGAGGAATCTGCCTCTGTTAAGGGATATCAGGTTCTCCGGCTCCCGTTTTCCGATAGTCTCAGGCAGTTAAATGCGGTTTGAAAAGTCCTGAACCCTAAACCCTCAAGCTCGTTCGAGGGTAGACGAGAAACAGCGCAGCGCTGTGGAGGATCTTCTGCTCTGGGCTTATCAGGTTTGAGCGAAAGGCGATGGGATTTTTTGTGTTCGAGCTGAGGCTGCAGCCAGATAAAGTTTCGAATCTGCCAACAAAACCCACAACATTTAGACTGGCTTCTTTGGGCTTCAAGTTCAGGTACTCATGCCATACACCCTACACTCGACACCCTAAGACCCCAAGCCCCAAAACTCTGACACCCTGAACCCAAACCAAAGACCCCAGAACCCTAAACCCCAAAACCTGAACCCCTAAATCCCATAACCCGAAACCCGAAACACTGAACCCCTAAACCAAAGTTAAAGGAAACTACAGGTGGGGAGTTGGCTTCCATAAGGTATATAGACCTTCTATAAGGCTCCTATAACGGTAACTACCCACCTGAACATGTCCTAGACAAAGACCCCAGAACCCTAAACCCTGAACCCCTAAACCCCATAACCCCATAACCCGAAACCCTGAACCCCTAAACCAAAGACCCCAGAACCCTAAACCCTAAACCCTGAACCCCTAAACCCCATAACCCCATAACCCGGAACCCTGAACCCCTAAACCAAAGACCCCAGAACCCTCAACCACAAACCCTGAACACGTAAGCCCCTCAATGCCATAACCCTCAATGCCTCGACGATCTTCTCGACGTACTGAATCTCCCGCTTCCTGACCTCGGGGGGGGTGGCGCCCGGGGATCCCAGCGTAGGTATCAGGGCTTAAAGCTTCGGGTTTAGGGCGTAGGGTTTAGGGTTTGGGTTTAGGGTTTAGGGTTTAGGGTTTAGGGTTTAGGGTTTCGGGTTTCGGGTTTCGGGTTTCGGGTTTAGGGTTCACGGTTTATAGGGTTAAGGGTTTAGGGTTTCGGGCTTGGGGTCTAGGGTTCAGGCTTTCTTTTTGTGGGCCCCTTTTCTCAGGGTTTAGGGGTTCAGGTGTTGGGTTCCTTTAACGGGATCTGAAAGGGTTCCTGAACAAGAGCTACTTGACAGAAATCCTGTAAAGGTTCCGTAAGGCTTACGCTGAGGCCTACTATGACGAGTCTTTCAAGGGTGTTTGTAAAAGATGGGGGCCTTAATAATTAGAACGGGGCTTCGGGCGATCGTCTGCCATAACTGGAATAAGCAAAGGAATAGTAATACTACTTTTTTAAACCGCTATAGTAGAGAAATAGAGCATACCAGGAGTGGTTTTTATATCATACGGATCACAAGGGAATGTTATTGCCACTAGTTCAGACCTGTGTTAGGATCACCGTGGACTTTATTAAACCCTAAACCCTAAACCCTAAACCCTAAACCCTAAACCCAAACCCTAAACCTTCATACCACCCACGTACAAATCTCGCAAACTCCAAAGAGCCCCTGCCTGCCGTAGCTTCTCCCGAGCAAGATGCACATGCCATGTTGCAGGCTCTTGCCAGAGTCCTTGAATATTTGGGTTTAGGGTTTAGGATTTAGGGTTTAGCGTTCAGGGCTCAAGGTTTAGGGCTTGGGGTTTAGGGTTTGGGAATATTTGGGTTATATTGGGAGAATTGAAATAACATGTCAAACAACACACATCCAGAGCCCCGTCGTAAAGGTCACACCGCGTATCGAGGGATTGCCAAGCACGCGGAGGCGATGGCTCACGCTCTCACTGACGCCCAAGTGCACCAGATCCAATGACAGGGTGAGCAATGAGCTCAAAGATGCGTGAAGATCCAGAAGGCAAGAGCCCTTGTCGCCAGGCGGCTTTGTTTTGGACACTGTATGAATGATGGCCGAATCCGACCCAGTGAAGGTCACCAAGTTCTGGACAAAGGAGCGCGTAGCAGGACGATGCCTCGAATGCTAAGGAGCGTAGCTGCAAACCAAAACGGCCACCAGCGGATGTGATGGGGCTGAAGTGTGGCCTCGCGTTTCAGTGCTGACGGGGCTTGGGTTTACGGTTTAGGGTGCAGGGCTTGGGGTAACAAGTAAGCGCTGAACCCGCTGATTCTCCTTTGACACACCAACATCGACTCAGGAAGATCCATACAAGTACATAGTTAGGTTTCTTAACACAGGACCCTTAATCAACTCTAGAATCCACATAGACGAACTTATACAATGCCATGCGAAGCCATATATAACCTTGCTGCAAATGTGTGAAGCCCCTGTAAATAAGAAGCCCTGAAAGAACCCTTGTAGATTAGAACCTGAAACCCTAAACCCTTGCAACCCTCCCTTGCAAAATCCCTCGAATCTGCTGACCTCCTTGTCGACCGTTTGGATCTCCACTCGGGGCACCTGCTTCGTGACCTCACGTGCATATACTACAAGATCTACTCGAAACGTAAGGGTTGCTACAAAGGCTCTACAGGGACTCCGTGACGGTCTCTGCAAGGGCTCGACACATATGTATGCGTATAAGGGATCTGTCAGCTTAGAGATTCTGATTTCCTGGGCGCTCTTAGCAACTAACCAATTGCCAAAGTTCTCTCCAACCATTATAGTACAGAAAATGGTTGCCTTACTATGTTAACTAAATCAGAAACTGGGCTTCTTGAGTGGGGGGATGGGCGTCCCCAAGGCAGGGATACGTGTAATGACCTGTCTATTGTGGAGTCCGCAGTGGGTCGTTTGTTTCTGAATCCTAAACGTGGGCCTCTTGTTTTCTGAGTCCTAAACCCTTAAACCAATCCTAAACCCTTAGCCGTAAAGGACGAAACGGAAAATTCGGAATCAGGTTGCAGCTACAGCTCTTCGAAACCTATTTGCCCCGACTTCTAGCTAGTGCCTTGCAGGACAGAAAACCAAGGGGGGGGGGGGGGGGGGGGGNNTGTAGGAACCTGCTTCAGAAACCCTGCACCTTCAGCAGCAGGGTTCTTAATACGAACTCTTATAATTATATTGGCGCTATAGGGCCAGGGTTTCTTAATCAAGTTCCTACATGACGGCTTTAAGATTCAGGGCTCCGATATCCTGGACAAGGTAGGTCGTCTTGCATGCGCTGCTTGAGGGCCTCGTCTGCTTTGCGCTTCGATTGTGGTGTGCTTCCGCTGCATGCTCAAGCCGCGGACCTTCTGGTTGGTCAAATCCTGTTCCTTCTGAGCCTGATATGCGCTGCCTGCATTTCCAGCTCCAAGATGCTCGATTGACCCGACTGTAAACACTAAACCCTACACCCTAAACATTAAAACTAAACATTAACCCTAAACCCTAAACCCTATAAGCCTTGAATCTTCAAGTGGTACCAAGCAGAGGTCGCGATCTGGAGCGCAGTGTTGAATCTTCTGCTCTCGAAATCTACTCTAGGTGGTGATTAGAGGTTACCGGGGGTTGAGAGACTGAAGTTGATGGGTATAAGTTATCTAAGGATTCGGAGTTTATGCTTTAGCTTTCGGAGGTTTAGGCGTCAATTCATGGCTTTGGGGTTGGGGCTTAGGGCTTCGGGCTTACGGGCTTAAAGGCCCTGAGCGCCAAACACCAACTCCGGAGCTCTAAATCGAAACCGAACCTAGAAAGACCATTCCGCCAGGGCCCATGTACCCAAATACTAGATACTTTGGCCTTAAAGTAGTCCCTATTTGGGCACTTTGGGGCCAAAGTATCTACTATTTGGGCACATGGACCCTTAGGGAAGCGTTCAGGGCCAGGGAGTGCATCTTCTAACGGCTTGTTGCCTGGAATGCTTTGGGTGTGGGGCTTGAGGCTTCAGAATTTGCCCGAAACCCCAAACACAGAACCCTAAACGCGAACCCCCAAAACTAGGGCATGGCTGGTTGGGTATTTTGGCGCTTGTGGTAGTAGCACTAGCAGAAAACAAGCACAAAAGCAGTCAGAATCATTGTCATAACAATGATACTCATCATCATCACAATAACAATAACAATAACTTTGACAATAACGATATCAATAAGAATATCAATAACACTAATCAAGATAATATGAATGATAATCATAATAATAATAATAATAATAATAATGATAACAATAATAACAACAACAACAACAACAACAACAACAACAACAACAATGGGAACAAATGCCTCGTGGACTTCCACCCGCGGGACTTCCACGATGCACTCCTGCGACGTTGAACTTCTGATGTTGGGGGCTTGTACGAAGTTCTTAGGGTTTTATGCTTCTAGGACTTAAGAACATGGCAAAGCAATTCTGAGATGCGGTGGTGCGTTTGTAGGATTCTGTAGAGTTTATACTGGAAGGGGTGTCTATGGGGTTTCTATGCAGCAGGGATTCGATTGGATCTTGGTGGGCGTATATAGGGCTTTGGAAAATCGGGTGTGTGTCTGTGTGTCTGTGTGTCTGTGTGTACGTGTGTGTGTGTGTGTATGTATGTATGTATGTATGTATGTATGTATGTATGTATGTATGTATGTATGTATGTATGTATGTATGTAGGAAGGTATGTATGTGTATATATATATACATATATGGAGTCTGCTGTGAGATGCACCCCTAAACCCTAAACTCAACACCTACAAAAACTAACCCACTGAAACTGCTCTCACCCTTAAGCCCTCAACCCTAAGCCCTAAACCCTAAACCCTAACCCGAAACCCTAAACCTTAAGCCCTCAACCCTAAACCCCTAACCCTAAACCTAGAAAGCCCTCGACCCTGAACGGCCTGCGGACTTCGTCGCCCAAGGCTGGGATCCCGAAAACTGCTGCATTCAAACTGCCTAGCTCGGTAGAAAACCTGGTACATGTTTCAGGACTTAGGGTTTAGGGTTTAGGGCCTTGGGGGATGTTAGGTGCTTGAAGGTTTAGAACTTGCGGATTTGAATGTGCGCGCTTCGGCGGTTACAGGTGGTAGGATCCCAGAGGCCTTAATAATTCGCCTCGGCCCCCGGCCGAAGCGGTCAGAGGTTCCTACTCGGACTTCCAGTGACCCCCACTTGAAAATGTCCCTCGTGGGCGGGGGAAAATGAGCCCCCGGGTCCCGCGGTGAAATCTCGCCTCCTCCAATGGATTTGGGCTCTCCGTAGGGACGCGCCCCCCACCCCCTGACCGCCTCTGCACCACCCCCACCCCCACCCCCCCGCCCCCCCGCCTCGGCCCCTCTCCTGGCTTCTGGTTGATGCGTTCCTCATCCGCTCCGCCCAGCACCAGCAGTTCGTTGGCCCTCTTTGTTTGCGGCCGGGCCGAGGCGGACGACGCGAAGCGTTTAAATTAGAATAGAGCTTTGGGGCGAGTTAGACTGTAATTAGAATAAGGACCCCCCAGAATAGTATTGGTAACTATTTAGGCCCTAAACCCAAAACCCCAAACCCCCAACCCTAAACCTTGTATTAGTTTGGGCCTCTTTTTGGCCTGCCCTTGAAGGCACCTCTGCCGTTTTCGGATTTGTTGGTTAAGATCTAAGGGGTTTAGGGTTTAGGGTTAGGGTGTAGAGTTTAGGGTTTAGGGTCCAGGGCCATGGACTAAGCACAAAGCGCAACTCTTTGTCAGGTGTTCGGAACTTCATCTCTAGATCGCAGTATTTCGCGGATCTCGTGAAGAAGTTATCCTGTCGATGGCTGAGTTGCCTAGATCGTAAGTCTCTACAGCCCCGATCCGGCCCCACAACTTACAACACCCCATAAAGTAAGAACATAAGCAACTGCACGACCGCACGGCACAGGTACCTCGAAGCCCTAAACCCTATACCCTAAGCCCCAAACCTCGAATTTTTAAGTCCCAAACCCTAAACCCTAAACATCCCTAAACCCTAAACCCCAAACCCTAAACCCAAAACATCCCTAAACCCCAAGGCCCTAAACCCCAAACCCTAAACCCAAAACCTCCCAAACCCTAAACCCTGAACCCTAAACATCCCCAAACCCTAAACCCAAAACCTCCTCAGACCCTGAACCCTAAACATCCCCAAACCCTAAACCCAAAACCTCCTCAAACCCTGAACCCTAAACATCCCCAAACCCTAAACCCTAAACATCCCTAAACCTTAAACCCTAGACCCTAAACCCTAAACATCCCCAAGCCCTAAACACTAAACATCCCTGAACCTTAAACCCTCGACCCCAAACCCTAAACCCTAAACATCCCTGAACCCCAAACCCGAAGCGCCAAAGCCGAAACCTGAGCTCTGCAGGTCTCCTGCACGGTGTACTGCGGAACCTCCATGACCTTCTCGATGCACTGAATCACAGGCTTCTCCACCTGTCTCTTCAAGGTTTAAGGGTTTAGGGTTTAGGGTTTAGGGTTTAGGGTTACTTTTTCGGCTTCTCCACCTGTCCCTTCAAGGTGATGATTCCTTTAGGGGTTCCTTTAAGAATTTTTGTAATGGCTTCTCCACCTGTCTCTTCAAGGTGATGGTGCCTTTAAGGGCTCCTTTAAGGGTTACTTTTCCGGTTCTTTGGAAGGGTTCCTGTAAGGTTCCTTTACGGGTTAGAGTAAAGGTTAAGGGCTTGGGCTCTAGCTCTACAGTTTGAGGGTTTGGGGCTTTAGGGCGTCAGGCTCAGTTTTTCAGGGGCGGCTGTCGGGCTTCAGAATCGTAGGGCTTAGGGTTTGGCTTTTTCGGGGTCTGGTGATGGGGAGATGGGGGACACGGTACAGTGACATGTCCAACGTAAGGGTTTCGGTAGTTAGAATACGGAGTCAGGGTATACTACAGTTTAACCATATGCAAGAACCGTAGTATTCGTAATTACTCAGGCCCCGATAGTTCTCAATGAATTTTGGGATGTGGCGGCTCTTGTATGCAATCAGTGGAAGGCATCATGAATGCACAGGCGAGGCTATCCGTTTAATTACCGGGCACCTTATTAAGGACCCTGAAAAATGAAAACCCAAACCCTAAAACGTGTTCCGTAAGACCTAAATGCCACAAACCCTAAACCCCCAGAACCCGGCGATTTCAGACCCCCAATCCGTACACACATGGTATTTCAATAAAAGGGCCTCAATGCTTAGAGAAAGGTATTGGGGTATATTGTATTGTATTATACTTTAGGAACTGCAAAGAGGAACGGCTTCCTGACCCTTTCCTTCACATAGCCTCTCTTATTGATGTTCGCAAGCCTGCACGAATAGCTTGCGCTTTCTCTTTCAATGCGAGGACCGGTGACCGCGACACCGCGTCACGCAGTCTAGGCATGGCATGCGGCAGCGGGTTTGCGAGCAGGCCATAACACAAGTTTCCAGAGGCCCCAAAAAGAACGTGCGGTGTCTCGGCACTACGGTATCAAATTTGCACCACAACAGTTTGGGCCAGCCCGGTTGTCTTTCAGATGCACTGCACACCCAAAGAGCAAACTTTGGAAGCGTGCGACACTGCAATACACAGCAAAAGGTGCGCACAATGATCTCCGAAGCACTGGAACAAGAAACGTTTCTGGCAACTCAGGAAAAGCCGACGATTCAGAGGTTCTCCCCCTGAGTCTACATTAATGCCGAAGATGCGCCGGCGCCCAAACCGCAGAACGGCATAAGTAATCGCCAGAAAAGTCTTCCACGTAGTCATGACGGCAAATCTATAAAGCGGACTCTCCAGAGATACTAGTGCTGACTATTCAGACCCCGATAGTAGCCTTAACAAACCCAGGCCGAAGACCATGCAGCCTGTGCACCTGAAGGCCTAACACCCTGGGGTTTAGGGGTTGTTAGGGTTTGGGGTTGCTAAACTCTAGACTCCAAAAATAAAACGAACCTCCTAAAAAATCCCACAGAACCCTTGTAAGCACTCTACAAACCTCTCTGGTCCGCATGCAAAATCCCGACAAACCCGTTCAGGCGTATCGAACCTTCGACTCAATCCCGAAAGCCATTACCGATCCTCAGCGAGAAAACTCTGAACCCCCTACTAAACCAAACCCCGAAGCCCGAAACTCTGAACCCTAAACCCTAAACCCTAAACCCCGAAACCCTAAACCCTAAACCCGAAACCAAACCCCGAAACCCTAAACCCTAAACCCGAAACCCTAAACCCTAAGCTTTANNCTAAACCCCGAAAGCCTAAACCTAAACCCTAGAAGACCTCACTAAAACCGGCCTGCTTCTGCACCTTTTGGACTTCGGGCCTCTCCGCTGCTTCGCGTGGGGGAGGGGGGGAGAGGATTTACAGGGTTTAGGGTTCAGG